TTTTCGTCTGGGGTGAAGCTTTTCTTCCTTTCTCTTGGCACAATCACATTCTCCATTCTTCAACTTGCCTGTTTTTCTGAAACACTAACACACTTGTTAGAAATAACAACATGTATTATATTTGTCTCATTCAAAACCTTACTAGGAATTGCTTCATTTGACTCAACATACCTAACCCATCTCGTTGCCATCCCTATTAGTTATAGGATATTTATGACCAGTTATTTAAGAATCGATTTGTACATACAAAATCGATTCATATATAACTGATTTTAAAAATAAACTGACTTTAAAAATAATAACAACATATATTTTTTAAAAATCAAATGTTTAAGAATTGATTTTGTATATTGTATATAAAATCAGTTCTTAAATAATTGATCTTAAAAGTTATATTAGAGAAATTCTTTAAAATCAGTTGAATATTAACTAATTTTAAAAAAAAATTTAAGATTGATTAAAATTTAATCACTTTTAAAAGTGTTAACAATATTTATAAAATGTTACCATATCATTTTTAAAATTAGTCCCCTCTTAATCATCTTAAAACTTCAATTTTAAAATGATTTTTGTACTAGTGAGAATATATTGGATGAAGTTTAGATATTTATTTTTATTCTCTTAAAATAACAAAAATGTTAACATTTGGATAAAGATTATTCATTAATTGACACCTAATTAAATTATATAAGTGTATCTCTTTTTAAAAATTATTATAAGAAATAAAAAAAAATATTTCAGTTTATATTTATCTTCTTTATAACTTTCTTTAATTCTTTAATGGTGGCTTTCTTAACATAACAATAGCTGTAGAAATAGCTCCCAAGTGAAGAAATCACGTTTATCTTTCTCGACCTTCCACTTGCAACCTAACACTTTAAACCCGTTCCGGCCAAAGTTGGTACAATAGCATCTCCAATTTCATTAAATTAGCAATCCATTTTATTTCTTTTAATGGATTCATGAATGACCCTTTAATTCTTACTGAACTATTTAATTTTCATTTTAATGTAAGTTTCTATTCAAAAAATAATTAAATGTATTTTCTCTCTTTTTTTAATATGTCATAGTCTCTATCATATATGTATACACAAAAATGTTAAACAATCTATAAAAAAAAGTTATATAAACAACTCTATTTAACTTAAATAACTTAAAATCACATATGATATATTAAAATAATGCTTTATTATTAAACAATCCACAGTCATCTCTCATCGAAAATGATATAATGTAATTGGAGTTTTTATTTTGGTTTAAGATTCCTACCCAGAAATGGTACCAGTGCCAAACAGATGATTAAACATTATTATCGTACTAACTGAAGGAACAATGTGGTAGCTTGGACATGAATCGTACTGCTCCATGTGTTTTACAGCTGCTAGCAGCTGTCTATTACGTTATGAGTAACTGTCACGATTAATGGACACTAAAAAGCAACTGTCATTATTTAAGAGGAACCTCGTATTCATGATTGGATTTTCGATTAGTTAAGTAGGACCGTTACGATAAAAAATAAAATAAAAAATAAAAAATAAAAACCTCTCTGTTGTTGTGTACAAGGAATTCAGCAGAAAAACAGGACTTATTCTGGAAGGCAAAGAAATCGAAGCAATGATTATAGATAAATAAATAAATAATCAAAGCAAGATTAGGGGTTTGAATCCTGCTTTGTGTATGCAGTCGCGTTAAATTTTGAAACTAGTTATTTCATTCTTTGAAGTGCCTCCAGCATAGCGAGGAGATTAATCACCGCTATCGGCTAAAACAAATATCAAGATCACCGCATTAAAAATGGGGGAAAGTGGCTAAATGATAATTAGAATCCATATACTTCATAATCAATACTATTTAAATCCATGAAAAAAAAAAAAAAACTTCGTAAACCATAAACTCTAATAAACCTTACTATTTAAATTATTAAGCTATTTATCTTTTAAAATTATAAAATAAATATTATATTATATTTAAATTATTGGATGAGTTAATTACATTTTTAAAATTTATGTTTAATATTAAATATAATTTAAAATTAATATATATATATATATATATATATATAATTAAGCAATTTTTTTCTATCATGAACATATTATTTTTAAGACACGTATTTGTCAAGAACTATATAAAAGGGGGGATTTTTAATGATAAATTTAAATAAATATTAAATTATAATTGCTAAATGTAACATATTGTTTATGTAACTTATGAATATCATTTTTAAAATCATAAAATTTATCAACAATATAGAATAAGTATCAACTTTTAAAATCTATCTTTTATCTTGTTGTTAATTTTTTTTTACCTTGTACATAAATAGTGAATTTTCAATTATAACAATTGAAACAAGAGTCAATTAAAGAATACGCTAAACATTATCCTAATAATTATATGTTAAAATAATAAATATATTATAACATGCACGCGACTAACTTGACTTCATGGAAATTAAATCGATGAAAAAAAGTCATCGATATATTATAACATGGTATAAATAACACCAATCCATAGGTCAAAATGACACGTGAACAAAAATTGCGATTAAATTTGTCATTTACGTGTAAAACACGCGTTATTAATTTTTATGAAGAAAATATTATGGTTCCACTTGAAAGTATTAATGAATTTTAATCGATTCAACTAGATTCAAATTTGTATGACTAAAAAGTATTTTTTTTATAGAATTAAATTAATATTTTTTAACTTCTAAAATACTCCTAATTTAATAGATTTTATTAAACAAAAAAAAACTACATCTAAATATTCTTAAGTCATTTTGACTTGATATTTTTATGATAAGTTTATTTAGATTAACAATAACGTGCACTGAGAACTTTTATGGAATTTTCTGAAATCATTTTAAGTGAAAAAGATGATTTTACCCCTAGTATTTACTTAGTTACTAAAACCTTTGTATATAACATACGCAAATTAACTAAATTTTTTTATCAAATTTTAATTGTAAAACTAATTTAAAATGAGTGAAACCACTAGTTAACATATTAGGACTCAAACTTGAAACTACTAATTAAGCTGTAAGGCTAAAACAACTTCTCACCAAATGATCTGTTTTCGTTGGTAAATATTTTAATTAAATGATACAACATTCTCCATAATATTATTTTGTCTAAATTACTCTTTTAATCTCTTATTTTATTTTATTTATTCTATTTAATTTTTTTATTATTAAAATGTTTAATTTAATCTCTTAATTAGAGGAGGTAAAGTGGGTTGCAATTCGCCAGCCTGTCAAAAAGTAGTAGGGCAGAGTGGACATTTTAATTCATCAGCCCGCTTAGCTTACTAGCCCACCAAGTCAAATGGTAAGCTGAGAGCCTGAGACAGGTTGGTCCGTCAACTTGTTCAATTAATTTTGATTTTATTTTGTAATTTATCTTGTGTGTCACTTTACAATAATAAATCTTATTATTAAAGGATTATAACATCTCTAATGGGGTTGCTTATAAGAAATCCTCCTGTGCCACATCATTGCTACATCAGCTCTAGTCCACTTTATAGATTGCTAAAATTTAAACAATCTATAAAATGGACCAGAATTGATGTGACAATGATATGGTACAGGAGGTTGCTTATAAGCAACTCCCACTGGAGATGCTCTTAGTATGTGTGTTGTAATTCTTAGGACAATTATAATTTTATATTATTGAAGGATTATTAGTAATAATTTTGATTGAAAAAATAAAAAGCGACTAGTAATTCATAATTTATTATTTTTGTTTGTAAACTTGAAGTTAAAAGACAAATTTATGTTATATGTCATTTGATTAAATTTGTTAATTATTGTAAAATAAACATTAAATATATTAATTTAAATTAATAATAAAATAAAATAAAATATTTATTTTTACTTTTCACAAATTGACTATTAATAAATTAGTTTATTAATCTATAAAGTTTAATTTTTTACTTTTAACTATTATTAATTAAAAATATTAAAATTTTTATGTTAATTAAATATAATTTAAATATTTAAATTAATAAAAACATTAATATTTAATTTTTCAATTTAAAATAAATTAGTTTATTAATCTTTTTTTTGTTCGTCCCTGGAGTATCCACCGCCGATAACAGTGACTAATCTCCTCGCTATATTGGAGACACCTAAAAGGGTGGGATAGCTGGTCCCAAGATTTAACGCAGTTGCATACACAAGGCAGAATTCCTGACCTTGCTTAAGCATGGATCAACCCCCTATCGCTGAATCACACGCTTGGAGTTAATTAGTTTATTAATCTCTCTATATATAACCAAAAAAGATTAATTATTTTATTAAATTTTAATTATAAATTTATTAAAATAATTTTAAAATTAAAAAATTTAACAAAAATTGAAAAACAAAAAAATAAAAATAAAAAACCCAGTTGAGAAATCGGTTTCTTAACAACCAATTTCTGTGTTATATATAAAATAAGAAGAGAGGGTGAGAAATCGGTTTTCATTTCTCACCTTAAATAGTAGCTGAGTTAGTTTGATAAATAAAATTGGGGGTGAGATTATTTAGGAAAATAAAATAAAATAATGGTATATTAAAAAAAAAGTCAAATAAAATATTTACTTTTACTTTTCACAAATTGACTCGTCGTCCCACTAATTCATCCCTTGATAGAACAAATCTAGATTTTCAGAATGTCTCATTCTGATTTTGGCATGTTGGTGGCAAGACGGGTTAAAACAGCCCAAACCAACCCATATTATCATCCTTATTCTAAATTTTCTTTCTTAAATAATGTCACGATAATATTTTTCGTCTAATTAAGAATAACATCGTTAAATTTTTATACGAGTAGTGTCATTTTCTTATTTTTTTTCATATATGAAAAAGTTAAATTAAAAAAATACATTGTTTGTTTTTTTTTTTAAATTAAAGAACTACCTAAATTAAATAAAATAAGAAATTAAAAGAGTAATTTACCCTTTGACAATACTTAATTTAAATTTTTAACGAGAAAAGTTAGTTACAATCAGGAGGAAAGAGAAGGAATGGTCCAACCCAGGCATAGAAGAGCAGCAGCTCCAGCTCATCCGCCAGGGTCGGATTTATTTCCCACCACTCTTCACACTTCCCGCCTACGCTTTCGTCTGACCACACAAATCCACTTCCCACCATTCCAACCCAAACAAACAAAACTCTCAAAAAAAGCAAAACACATTTCTCCACACAAGAACAAGAAGAAAAAAAATGGGCATGCCATTGTGGGGAAGCAACAGCAACAACAGCATTGGGAAGGAGAGTTGAATGGGCAATGTTACGGGGAGCGTGGCCGCGAAACTCGCGTTTTTCCCGCCGGAGCCGGCGACGTACGAGGTATGTCGGGAGGAGGACGGGAGGGTGGCGCTGTCGGGGGTGAGCGGGGACAAGAACCTGGTCGCACACGTGTTGGACACAAAGGTTGGGAACAAGATCGTGGCCACGTTCTGGAAGCACCCTTATGCGAGGTTCACCTTGCTCTACTCCCATGGCAATGCCGCTGACCTCGGTCAGATGCATGACCTCTTCCTTGAACTCAGGGCTCACCTCCGCGTCAATATCATGAGGTTCCTCTCCTTGCATCTTAATTCCTTTACCCGTATTTTCTTCTAACTTTTTGTTCTTACTATGCAGCTATGACTATTCAGGATATGGAGCATCTACTGGTAAGGTAAGTATGTATCTTCAAATATGATTGATATAAAGAAACAAGATAAAAATGGGTGTGTTTGTTTTTCGGTACAACCCAAAAGCAACACACTACACTACTTGCTTTGATTTTTTTGCATTGAAAAGTGAAAAAAGTCCGTTCAATTGGTGTTGAATGGATTCCCAAACACACACTACAACAAACATACACTACAACAAAACAAAACTTTGTTTCAGTTACGTGTTGTTGTTGTTCTCTAATCAAAATAAAAGTTTTACCTCGATAATATGCAGAAATTATATGATATGCAAAAATATCTATTAATGAAATCATTAAATGAAAGTGCATATTACCTGGTTAAAACTCCTATTATGATTGGAAAAAACATTAATTGCACATAAGAAGCTGTACTATGGACTATCAATTCCATTTGAATTTTGTATTTTTCTTCAAACCATTCTATCCACTAATCTAACTGGATTTCTTATGTGTGATTATTTCTCTAACTTTTATAGCCATCTGAGATCAACACGTATCATGACATAGAGGCTGTGTATGATTGTTTGAAGAGTGAATACGAAATTAAGCAAGAAGATTTGATTTTGTATGGTCAATCAGTTGGTAGTGGCCCCACCGTACACTTGGCTACTAAGTTACAGAATTTGAGAGGTGTTGTTATTCACAGTGGCATCCTTTCAGGGATAAGGGTCTTGTACCCTGTCAAGGTGACATTTTGGTTTGACATATTCAAAGTAAGTTTTGCCTCAGTGTTCTTCATACTTCTTAATCTGTAGCAAACTTGCAATGTTTATCGCTCAGTTTTGTATTAACAAATATCTCTTTATTAATTTCAGAACTTAGAGAAAATGAGGCATGTTGACTGTCCAGTCTTAATTATACATGTACGGTTATCTTCTCATCGATTTCTCTATTTAGTTTTTACATTATGCCTCTTTTGGTGTTCCAAATGCTCATTAGTTTCTTTGTTCAAGCTTCTATCATGAAAAGAGTGTTCCTTTTACTTTTTGGAGCATATGGAGAGATTGTTATAGAATTCCTTATTGGTTGAATTGTCGAGTACCTGAACTATTTGGAAATTTTCAAATAGGTCCTAAACTAAAAAGAAAATTAAAATTACTGGGTCCCTGAACTAAAAAAGTAGGTATATTTTGGCGACTTAAAACAGTGAGAAATTGACAATTTGTGACAGTTTGAAAAATCCTAGGGACTCAATTAAAAAAGTTTACATGATCAATGACCTTACTAAATAAAATTAGAGTATTTGACCATTCTAATTTTGCTATCTTTATCAACAAGGTATTTTATATGGAAGCTTGGTTGAGTCTGACCAAGAATAGAAAAGAATAAAAGAAGTTATTTTGATGGATTTGTGTTGACTTTAAAACACCCTCATTATCAGAAGAAATTGCAATATCTTGTAATGGAAAGTGACAAAGCACACTCACAAACAATATTAGGCTGATTTGGTTTGGACTGTTGCACCATTAATTTTGTTTTCTTAGAAGGATGTCATCTGAATACATAATTGTGGGTGTTTAGGAATCTGTTTGTGTTTCGATTCAAGAAGTGTTGATCTTTGTCCTTTAATCAGTAAATAAATAATTATAATACAGTAGTTTATTTGACTAGTATTATTTTCACCTTATACTTCTCACCAGTTTTCAGAAAGTCTTCAGATCTTGTTACAAGACATTTAGTCAATCGGTTCATATTCTTAAAAACAATTCATTAGCTGAATAAACAAAAGGACAATGGAAACACATGTTTTCTTCTAATTTACCAGAACAGTACTTCTTGAATGTAAACACCAACAATACTTCTTGAATATCTCCACAAAGTGCCAACAATAGATTTTAGTTCTGGAATTGAAACTGAATAACCAACACTGGATACAGCGCTTGGTATCATACACTATCATTTTTAGGTTCTGCATTCAGGGTATTACTCAAATTTTCCATGCTAAGCTCAAGTTATAAAGCAACCTATGATTCAAATAAAAAATTAAAACATATGTAGAATGTTGAATATGAAGAGATAATACTACAGGCTACTGTACAGATTTATTACACTTATACCTAATGTCAGTCTGCAACTTTAAATCAATGTAAATTTGAGAGGCTTCTCTAATCATGTTTTCCTGTGTGGATTCTATTCTTCTTGTCTTGAAACAGGATGGAGCCTTACTACAGATTTTGTCCTAATTCCTAAGAAAGAAGAATTTGCAGTGGGTAGAATATGTTTACCTAATATTTAACTCTTTAATACTAAGTTACGCTAGAAGGAAAACAGTTAATAGAATCTTTAATGGGATTCTATTGCTGTTCGTGCTTTTATTTCTATATCTTAAAAGCTTAAAAGCCAACAGCATAAATCAATACATAAATTTTGGAATATCAACACATTTTTTCATCACTGTAGCCCATTGTACAAAAGTACTATATTATTGGATAAGGCCAACTAGATCCAGCATTTTAGCCATCACTGTAATTGAAACAAAATTAGATGTTAGGGTCTTTGTCGTGTCACTATTCATGGTTTAAGTACTCTATACAAACACCTTGTCTTTAATGAAACAATATACTTCCCATGCTAATAGTAGTTTTGTTTGTCTGCTTGTGTTTTATGGGCAGGGAACTAATGATGAAACCGTTGACATTTCCCATGGAAAACGATTGTGGGAACTTTCCAAGGAAAAATATGAGCCTTTGTGGGTTAAGGGTGGGGGTCATTGCAATCTTGAGGCTTTCCCTGAGTACATCAAGCACATGCGCAAGTTCCTAAATGCCATGGAAAAACTCACAATCACTGGAGAAACAAACAAACAATTCACTCAAAATCCTAGTAATAACAAACACAACAACGATTCTGATTTCAAAAGTAACAAATGTTTAAGATTTGGTAAAAGATAGCTGGATCTATTTGATATTTGAGGTTTTGCACTTAGGAAATCAGAACGGTGGTTTGATTGAAGGTTTTGATCAGCACTATTTTCACTCATAGACTCAAGATTTGGAAGCCAAAGTCGTTGATCCAAATCCTGTTAAAATGGCCATTTTTTGGATGAAGAACTCGCAAGTGTTGTTTGCCTGGGGTAATCGTGATGTACTTGATGTTATCTAGCAAACTTGAGTTTATGTATAGGCCCTCATCATTATGAGAAAAAGAAATTTCTTTTTAACAGTTCTATGGATCCCCAATTCCCCCTTGAGTGCATATGTAGATAATGAATGCACCTAGGGTACTTTCCTTCTATTGAAAGATCAACTAGTCTTATTGTGATAGGCAAGTATTGTACTAATACTAATCAAGCACCGTAGGTTTGCCTCTAATTCAGGGGATAACGGCCTTTTTATGTTGAAACCATTAATGATTCAATGCAAACCGCAGAATTTAAACTAATAGTAGCTTGTTCCATGTTCACTTCCCCATAAAAGTCAGAAGTAATGAGAGTTAACCATTATAATGGAATAAGCATTCACCTGGAGTGAAGTGGTAATCCGAGATTCTTCGTTTCAAACCAAATTATTACATCTGATATTACGTATTATCTAATATCTAATTATCTAATTTATTATAATTAAAAATATAATTAATTTAATTGATAATAATAAATTTATCTTATTGTTATATATTTTTTAAATATTATTTTTATATTATTTTTTTCTTAATTGATGCTCATATATCTTTTAACCAATTTGAGTGTATATTTTATATTATTTTTTCCTAACTAAATCTCATATATCTCCTAAACAAATAGAGCATATATTCTTTAAAGAGTTTATAATTAATGCATTTTATTAAATTAAGATAATACTTTTTAATTAAAAATATTTTAGTTCAAAAAAATTAATATATGAGACAATATTTGTTTTTGGTACCATGGCATTCACTTAGAGAGAAGTGGCAATATGAGATTCTTCATTTCAAACCAAACTATTATCTTTTTTCCTATATAAGACATAAGAGCAATTCTAATGAGAGTTGTTTGTCCCATGAAGCAACTCAAGTCTCGATTTCTTGTCATTGGAGAACTCTGACGTGGCAACGTGAATTGCTTGAAGAAGAGAGAGAGTTGTTTCCTCAAGTAACCGTTCCTTACCAGATTTCAAGCATATCTTATTGAACATATTTGGGAATGTTTCAGAAATAATAATGATGAAAATTAATTTTGTATAATATTTATATATTTACTATTGTTTTATTTTATTTTTAAATTTTACTTATTGTGTATTTTTTCTCATAATTTATTTTCTTTCATTGTAGTGCAATTATCTTTTTTTTTAAAAAATTAAATTTGGTTCATAAATGATTAGAAAAAAAATTCTAAAAGTTGAATTTCTTAAAGTTTCTTACCATTGAAGTAAATTTGTGTTTGAGTTGCTTAATGCTGACATGGCACACTAAGGACCACTTTTTTTATTTTTCAATGCATGAAGCAACTCAAATGAGTTGTTTCCATTGGAGATGTCCTAATTTCCTAATTTAGCAAGATTAAAAATAATAGTTAATTTAGTTGATAATAATAAATTTATTCTACTTATATTTTTTTCTCTAGAATTACCTTTATATTATTTCTCTTTCCTAATCAATATTCATATATATTCTAATTAATTAAAGTGCATATCCTATACTATTTTTCTCTCCTAATTAATACTCATATTTCTCCTAACCAATTAGGGTATATGTTCTTTAAAAAGTTTATAATTAATACATTTTATCAAATTACGATAACACACTTTAAATAGGAGTATTTTAGTCTAAAAATAACTAATATTTAAATTTTTTTTTTTTGACACCATGGTATTAACTAGAGAATATTTACTAACTTAATTGAAAACTAGTCTCCTTCAAGACCTTAACTATATTAAGGTTATTCCTCCTAAGAGCGCTTAAGGACCAACTATAATACGAATTGGATTAATAAACGTTAGTATACGTGAGACAATATAAATTGGGTCTTATATAAATAAATAAACAAGTATTTAAAGTTAAATCTTATAAATAGAAACGAAATTAGTATATAGTATGTTCCTACCGTAAGTTCGTTGTCATCGTTAGAATGACCGCATCTGAAGTATTGTCCGCTATGACACTTGTTGAGCCATCATAGTTTTGTCCTTTAAAAGGCGCATTGGTAGGTTAAGGAGAGGGGGTGTTTATAAACTATCTTTAGTCTCAACTCCTAAGCGATGTGAGACTTTTAAACATACTGGAACATAGTATAAATACATAAAAATATAAAAATATAAGTGAGAAATATAGTGCCACCACATAAGTAATATTGATACTTTCATGTTTGCCTCATCCATCTTCTTTTCCACTAGCATCGTCAACAATTTTTACAGTATCCTCGTTTCTTGATTCATAATGTTTAAACATTCATATTGAGTCACTATTAGCATTATTCTAACAGTAGCTTTAAATTTCGACCTTCCATTGTTTACTATATAGGTTACACTGTCCGTTACACCAAAACATATTAAACAAGTTAGGAAACAATTGGACTGACCATAATATGTATATCTCAGAATTTAACCGGCTATGGTTGATATGTGTGACTATGTAACATCTCAGTTTTTATCAAGCCTCACTCAAGTAACATGTGACTTTATGTGTTACTGCCTAAGTTCTTTTCTTATGAGTTTTTTCATGCAAATTTATTTTATTTATTTTGTGATTATTCTTTTATTTTCTTTTTACAAATTTTTCTATAATTTTGACAAAAATATGATCATTTCTTTAGTTCTTATATAAATTTTGTTTTATATAATAAAATTTACATGTCTTACATATTTTTTTACAAAAAATGAATCTATGTTTTTACCAAATTTTACAAGTTTTTCAACATTAGGATAACATCCTAATTGTTTTGATGTTCGCAACGGTAGAAATACTTGTAAAAACACTATGACACTTAAGTTAAAAAAAGTTTAAGTTAAAAATGAGATTATGTTTGAATGATACCTAATACTTCCTATATAAGTGATTTATAGCATTGCTTGATTTTAGGAGATAATTTTGCTTGATACTTGTTGATACACTCATGTGATTGTGTGTGATATTCAATAAATTATTGACATATTGTCCAAGATTCTAAGAAACATGAAATGGGATTCTTCCTAGATGAGTTTTGGATCTAGTGTGGTGAGCTAATTAGGTTGTTCAGTTAATCTAGGTTCGTCGTAAACTCAACACGGTTCAGTACGTCTGAGTCAAGGATAAATAACTCCCTAATTCTCGGCTTCGTAAGAGTGAAGGAATTACAAGTGTGTTAAGAGTTGTTTACAGGTTAAGTTAGTTGTTGATATCTCACACATATATGTGACGATTATCCACCCACTTTAATGAATAATGATTATTGTTGTTCTGGATAAATTTGGACCATTCATTATATGCTTGATTTGAACATGTGCCAAAAGAGAGAGAAAAGAAAGAAAGATTTAACGATTATAATTCTATAAAAATACTTATAATATCTTTAATTATAAAGAATCTTATTATTTAAACTAAAAATAATTATTATAATAATAAAATTCTCTTTCTTTAAATATTTAACACAATTACATATCTAATATCAAATTCAATAATATTAATCAAACAAACTGAAATGACCGCAAATCAATTGATATATCCACGCCATCATAGGTCCTATAGACACATATTTGATCTCATATAGAAATGAATATTAAATTCTTCGAATAGCCAAAGTAATGAATGGAACGTACGTTTACTTTTTCTTTTTATTTTGAATCTAAGTCACGTACTCACATTAATCATGCACCATTGATTGGAGCACACTTGAGTGGCTACTCTCTAGGTTTTGCCTTTGGTTCTTCACTCCATCTATCATCAGTTTAGTGGCGTGGTTGGTAAACGTCTAGCGATTGTTTGTTTGTCCTTTCGTTATCATCTTTGTATCTAGAAAGCATCATTTGTGTTACTTGATTGCTCAGTGCTGATTCATCTAAACCAAATTATTGCCTATCTTGTCCTTCCCCAAAAGGAAACAAGATTCAATACATATAACCAACCACGTTAAATAAATATCATGTCCAAGACAGGTGTTTGCTTTTTTGTTCTTGTGGAAGAATTGTCTATGTGCATGCCCTGTGATCAATGCTAAAACTTTATTGTTGTTTGTCCCTCTCAATTAATACAAGTTGACTATAAAGTTTTGTTTGCAAATTAAGCTAAATGCAGCAAACTTTATGGATTGAGTTTCATTGAAGGCGCATGTGGAATAAAATTATGTGAATATTTTGTTTAGTTTATTACGGCAAACATTATTAAAATTATCATAACATTATACTTCATCTTAAGAAGTACGACAATTTTAAATCAATAATAATAATGTTATACAAAATAATCTAAAATTGACACTAAGCATCTTGTGCCTTTGAGTGTGTTGTCGATGTATGCCTTGCGGTCTAAAAAATCCGACCCCAATATTTTATTTCTCAAGATGGATTAATTTCATGGTTTCAAAATCTAATTACAACTAATCAATTAAGTCGATGTAGATGAACTTTATATATATATATATATATATATATATATATATATATATATATATATGAGTAGGAATTTATTAACACTAATAACAAGTCTACTTAAATTTATTTCATTTAATAACTTATTTTTTTACATCAAATTTTAACAACCTAATTATTGAAATAAAAATTCTTAATACATAAATCAAATCTGCAAATTTTTAAAAATTTTGAAAATTATTTGATACTTTATTTCATTAATTTAAAATGACGGATAATTATAAAATTAATTTATACGTTGATTTGAATATCAAATTGAATATTTTAAAAATATTGAGACTAAATTAAAATAACCAAATTGAATAATAATCGATCAATATATTTTTTTATATAAATTTGTATAATGTTAAAATAACCATTTTTATTTATCTCAAAATCATTTTAAATTAAACTAAAACTATAGGTAAATAATAATTAATTTTTCTAAAAATAATCCTATATTCTTTTATCGGTTTTAGATTGGTTTGAAATTTTCTTACTAATTTTTTACATGAGCCAACTTCCTCTTTTTTTTTTTTTTTTTTTTTTTGAATTAATGGATCAATCACTTCATTGGTTATTAAAATTTAATAAGATTAATGAAAACAAATTTAATTGTCTTAGTAAGATCATGAAAGACGGAAAATTAATAGAAAAAAATATCACAAAATGAAGAAAAAGTTACCTAATAAGTGAAAATTCAAACTTATTTTGAAAAAAGAAATAATAAATTTTTTATATAAAATAAATTGCACATTTTTATTAATTAGAAAACTATATTGAGCAATTTAAAATAATGAGACTAAATTAAATCCTAATAATGAATAAATAGGCTAAAAATATAATTTGAGATTTATTTTTTCCCCCCTACAAGGAGCATGGGTGATATGGAGTTGAGTGTGGCTCAGCTAAAGCATTTTATTTTATTTTTTCTACCAAGGGTATTTCTAGCTCATTGAACCATAAACTAATTATGTCCATAGTTCTGCATTGTCATAGCTCATTTTCGCATTACAATAATTGAATATGAGATTTCTTGATTAATAGACCGTTCTCAACATTATGCCAACTAACTAAATTATGTGTCAAGACTCAGATTTGAAATCGTGATGCGAGGATTTTTAGTCTTCTACTCTACAAATTGAGATATTCCAACCATTCTTGACATATAAGTCTTATCTTTTATTTTAAAATTTTACTAGTCAATAAATCTAAGTAAATTAAGTCTAAAAGGTTATAACATTAAAAATTATAAGTTAGTTTTTGTACTAATCAATATAAGGTTGAAGAATATAATCAACATATAAGGTTGAATAATATAATCAACTAATATACGAATATTATTAGTCAATCTTATATAGATTGACAAGATTGGAAGAATGACTTATGACAAATTAACTTAGTTATTCTTGACAAATTTAATAAATGAATACTATAGTGATCCATCTATAAGGTTGGATTGACAAATTTTTAAGATCGGAAATGTGAACTTATAAGGTTAAGATTGTCAATCTATGTGGTTGGATCAGTCAACTTATAAGGTCGAATTAGTCAATCTATAAAATGAAAGAGAGCAATCAACCAATCTATGAAATTAAATAAAATAACTTTAACCAATATAAATGCACATATGAAATCATGTAGATAACGATTATCAAAAGACGATTACCAAAATACAAGGTACTTTTATATACATTAGATTGAGACATTCACAAACTAACCTAATCTTTAGAGTCTCTTTTGTAAGTACCCAATTTAAAATCCTTAATTTTTAACACAGAAGAAATGGAAGAAAATTATTACCTATTATCCTTTCTTAAACTCCTTAAAGATTTTTTTTATAAAAAAAGTTATAATTTTTTTTTACATAAAATAGTTTTAAATTTTTTTATGATACTCCTTTTATTCTTACTGAATACTAAATACATATTAACCATAAATATTAAAAAATTTAAAATTTAAATAATAAGTAAAATTGTAATTGATAAAGAATTAGGAGTCATAAATTTTGAAAACTACAAATAATAAAAATCAGTAAAAAGTCATTTTAGTTCTTATGAGAGTTGACGAAGAAAAAGATAGTCAAATAAATCTCTAAATTTATTACTTACTACTATTTTGTTTTTAAGTATATATTATTATTATCATTATTATTATTTTAGTCATACAATTTCTTTTAAAAGTTTGGATTAATATAATTATTAATTTATACTTGTAGAGATTTATATGATTTTTTTTTAGTTTCAAAAACTAATGTAATAGCAAGACTAAAATAACTATTTAGTTAAGAGGTTTTCAAAATCAAATAAACCCAAACAAAATATAAAAAGTGACTCTAAAAATAGAAAATTGATAATCTTTTTTGCAATTTTATTTATTTATTTATTCTTAAAACATGCTGCTCAACTTAGTTTGCAATTTGAAAATATGAAACAAATCTAACTTGAATCGTTACTCATATATAAGAATAGTTTGATTTGTTCTGTGACTTGATTTAAGTAATGTTATAAAAGTTTTTTGTGTATATATGTTTCATTTTAGAGTGTTTTTTTTTAGATTACTTTTGTTTCAATATGTGTAAAAGTTTTACATTTTTTAGGAATTGAGATCAAAGGTAGTTTATAAATACCTTCTCTCTTTAATTCATCAAGACGTCTTTTCAATTTTCAAGGATAAAACCTCTAATGTATGTCAAAGCAAATAATACTTTGGACATGTTGACTACGGATAATAACTTGGACAGGCTGACTCAAATAATGTTAGCAAACTTATGATCAGAACATTGACAAGAGAGCTTAGCCTAAATTACTCTTTACCTTGGTCATTGTGACCTTTGAGTGTGTCGACTTTAATAATGTCACCAGACTTAGGGTTGGAACATTAACATTAGAAGGAGGACCTAACTTATATCACTTTTTACCTTAAATATGATGACTCTAATAATACTAGAGAATTTATAATCGAAACTTTATAAATTAGTATTTTAGTATGTGCCCAATGCACATGTTAAATATTTATTATATATAACAAAATTTATAATAAATTATATATACAAATAAATATTATATTTAAATATATAAATTATATTTAAAATTTATATAACTAGATAGTTTTAAACAAATAAATTATATTGCATATTTATGATAAATAATTTATAATGCAACATAATATTTTTTATGTATTGATAATTTATTTTAAAATATTAATATTTAATTCAAAAA